TTGCTTTAAGAACATTTATTTTTTAAGGTTCTTTCTCAACCTTTGCTAGGGCTGTCTAATGAATGTTAGTGATTATCTGTCAGCTGACCTTCTTTCCTGAGTACTGCTTCTAAAAGACAAGGTGGGTAGGGAGTCACTCCAAGCCACACAAAAATCTACAGTTCCCTTTTTTTGGTCACTAATTTTTCACTTTTATGAACTTTTTATGTTGTTATTGATAAAGTTTTTCCTTGCTTTCACTGTTTATTCATTTCATTGAAGGAGGAATACTTTTTCAGATTCATTCTACCTTTTTTACTTGGAAGGTTTAGGCTTATATTTAAAGTAATGATCATCTCCTATTTTTCTCTTGAGTACGCCATAGAACTTGGCCCAATGATGAATAAATGTTAAGATACAAAGAATGCTAAGGATATAAAGATAACATTTCATGTTTTGTGATGGTTACTTCTAAGCATGCTGAACAACAGAATCAGATTATTCTCCTAAAATATTTTTCCATTACCCACCATTTACCAGTTTTAAAATATGAAACCTCTCTTTCAACTCAACTGGTTTATTTGCTTGCTTTGGATATACCTCAGTTAATGTCTACATTTTATGATATTCAATTAATTTATTTTCTAAATTAATGTCTACATTTTATGTTACTGTTTGTCTAAGACAAATGGTCTTTATTTGTCAAACCTTACTCATCTCTCAAAGCTCAGCTTAAATCCTACCTACCCTGTGAAGTCATCTTACTGACTTTTCTCCCACCCCCATATTAGGAATCTCTTCCTATTCTGAAGTCCCAGGATCTTTACTGCCTTCACTATATGACCTTGCATACCCCTCATATTGTTTATTTATTTACTGGTATATATCTCTCAATTCTCCATCTAAAAAGGATAACAAGAATGGTGTCTTTTAGTGAGCATTTACTACCACTACCATATTTATCTCTTTAATATAACAACCTATGAAGGAAACTTGCTTAAGTTCATATATGAGAAAGGAATAGAGTCAAGAATTAAATTCAGTTTTGGGTTCTGAAGCCCATGTTTAGGCATTATATTAACTCTCAGTCTAGTTGTAAATGTCTAGTATACATCAACTGAGTCTTATGTTTCTCAATATTGATTCACTTACTCAAATATAGTCATGGGGTATCTATTATATAGAAAGTATAGCCAAGAAGTAGACTTAAGCTAAGTTTGTCTCTGCACAATCATACCATCTAATAAAGATTTAAAAACACATATATAATTAAGACACATCAAAATATGATAAGGTTAATTAATTCTTGTTTATTATGTTATTTCCTTTAAATTACATACACACACACACACAGAGAAATTTAACCCTTACAACAACCCTATGAAGTAGATATTACTCTTACCCATTTTAGAGATTAAGAAACTGAGGCCGGGCCCTCCCTGGTGGCGCAATAGGTTAAAGCACAGCACCATGAAGCTAGCCAGAGCTACTTGAGCATGCACTCAATCTCTGGCCAGGGAGCTGACCCACATGACACAACAGACCTCTTCTGTCTCACCTGCTGCTCCTTTAAGCAGTGTACTTCTGTTAATCTGCCTGTTCTACTCCCCACTCTGTTTCTGGAGAATCCTCTCACTACCCCTGTACCTCTGGCCTGTACTCCAGGTCGTATGCATAAATAAATAAGTCTTTAAAAAAAAAAAAGAAAATGAGGCATAGAGATATTAAGTAACTTCTCACAGCTGGACAACTAATCTGTGCTCTCAAAATCTAGACTTCCAATAACAAAAATCACAATGAAAGAAGATAAATTATTAGGTCTATTTAAAAACTGTGTATGAAATGGGGCAAGAGGACTATAATCACTATATAAAGAATTCAGACTATATGCAAAGTAATTTTTAATACTGGAACTCAATTACAATTCTGGAAACAGTCTACCATTTCTACCTATTTATGCATCTGTCCTTATTTAACCTTGTCTATCTTTCCTTGCTTCATTTGGAGTTCTGTTTTAATCTTTTAAATATTGGTATTCCATGTTAAGATCCCACTTGGAAAAAAATTCTGTTGCTAAAGAAAAGTTTGAAAAACACTGGACTGGATCAAGGGTTCCTAAACCTAGCTGCTCAACAGAAATACTAAAAGAAATACTCAAATGACAAATTCCTGAGTCACACCTTTACACCTAGTGAAATAACAATTCCCCAAGGGATTCTTTTGTGTAGAGGCCAAAACTAGCCTGTGATGTTTGAGAAGCACTGACTCAGAAGACCCTTGATTCCTTGCAAGCCTGTGAAAAAACAGAATTTAAACAGGTAGGCAGGAATCTTAAGCATAAGAGCAGGTGGTAGCAGATGGAAGATTTTGTAGACAGCTAAATCAATATCATCTGATGAAGCAAAAATAATGGAAAATGAGGAGCTAGTTTCGACCAGAAGTTCCTCTGGAGGTTAAGCTGTCTGGCAATTATCTCAGAGCCTACTATAACTATCCATGATGATAGTCAAAATGATTTAACTCAATAACAGTTGAAAAACATCGAATGTGAATCATGCATATAATTAAAAAGTTTCTAGTAATCACATTTAAAAAGTAAAGTTAGGTCCTCTCTGGTGGCGCAGCCGGTTAAAGCACAGCACTGAGAATCTAAAGCCCTTCCGCATGAGTTCGATTCCCGCCTGTCCCGGAGGTGACTACATGGCGTGGCAGACCTCTCCTGACCCACCCGCTGCTCCCCTCATCAGTGTACTTTGTTGATCTGCCTGTTCTGCTCCCCGCTCTGTCTCTGGTGAAGCCTCTCACCACCCCTGAGTCTCTGGCCTGTACCCCAGTTCTGTATGCACAAAAAAAAAAATCTTTAAAAAAATAAATAAATAAAATAAAGTTAATTTTAATAGTATATTTTATTTAATAATATAACCAAAATAATATAATTCAACATGTAATTCAAGACAAAATTACTAATAATATATTTACCTTAGTTTTTATATAAAATCTTCAAAATGTTACAGTACAACTCACTTCACTCTAACCAGGTTTCAATGCTCAATAACCATATGAGGATAGTGTAGAACTAATCAAAAAAGCTCAATTCATTTCCTATTATAACAGATATTCTGTTGCAATAAAAACATAAACATTTCATGGATCACTTTTAAGCCCTAGAGACCCTGCTACCAGGCTAATCAGATAACAATTTTGTCTGCAGATATCATGCCTAACACATAGCTTTACACCTGGCACCCTCTCTCTTCCCAGCAGCAGAGTCTGTGTTCTAGATATATTTACCAGAACGTCCTGTTCCTAAGACCTACTCAAAATACTTAAAACTAAATTTACCATCTCTTCCAAAATTAAATATATATATTACTTCTTTATTTTCCTATTGCTACCAGTCATCCCAGATCAAAACTTCAAATGCTTCCTTTTCCTTTATTCTACAAAAGCACCAAGCTCTATTTAGCCTCCCTTCACAATCTCTCTCATTGCCCCTTTGCTGGTTCTAGTTCTACCTGCTGCTCTGTTCAGTAGACTGTTACCAAACATGTATATACTTTGTACATCATTTCTCTTTAATGGATCCATCATGCCTTATGCTTCAGCTTTGAATTCAGGCCCATGCGCAATCTTTTTCCTAGCCCTAAAGTGGTCTTTATCATTCCAATCTAGTCATTCATCAATCTCCTAGGACAGCTTTTATTTTAGGCAAACTACCTAGTTTCCTGTCTCTTGCATATGCCTTACACTTCCTCGTCTCTGTTTTAGGATTTTCAACCTACCTGGAATGCCTTTATTCCAGCTTCACCTACTCAAGTCATTATTGTACAAATATTTGTGTCAGGTTCTGCATTAGGAAATGGAGATGTAATAGATAACAACAAGCTCAGTTCTTCCTTTTTTTTTTTTTCAGTTCTTCCTTTTATTTAATTTTTAAAAAAGATTTATTTATTTATGTTACAGAACTGGGGTACAGGCCAGAGGTACAGGGGCGGTGATTCACCAGAGAGAGTGGGGAGCAGTACAGGCCGACTGACAAAGTACACTGCTGAGGGGGGCAGTGGGTGGATCAGGAGAGGTCTGCTACACCATGTGGGTCACCTCCAGGGCCTGGGATCGAACTCAAGCTGAAATGGCTTTAGCTTCTTAGTGCTGTGCTTTAATCTGCTGCGCCACCCGGAGGGCCCTAGTTCTTCCTTTTTAAGAAATCCTTTTTTATATGTCAAGTACACTTAATAAATTGAAATAAAAAAATCTTCCTGACTACATCAAATAGAAGTGGTTGTGCATTACTGAGTTGCATTATTGTCTATAAGCATTATAAGGACTCACTGGGCCCTTACAATCTGCTTCTTCCTTTTGTTAACTATCAATTTTTTTCTATAAATACCAATTCATCTTTCCAAACAGAGTGTGAATTTCCTGAAAGTATGGATTGGGGTCATACCAGTGTATTCTTTCTTTCTTTCTTTCCTTTTTTAAACATTTTAGAAGGACAGGTTTGTGAAGAAAAGGACAGGAGAAGACACTTGCACAGTCACAAGTGGGCAGGAAGAGCTGCTGTTGCTGTTTTGCAAAGGGAAAAGGTTTGCAAAAAGAAAAATCTTCATAGTCACGGGCATGCAGGAGAGTTGTCTGCCAGTGTATTCTTTTGGGCACACAGTAAGCAGCAGATACTAAACATACTACATACCACTGCTGAATGACAAGTACTTACAAAAGAGTGCAATGCCTGTGGGACAGGAGGTGGACATATCTAGAAAAAAGATACTTTCTCTCTATCCCGGCAGTATGGAGGCAAATGTGGATCAGAGGTGAGTGTATAGGGCCTGCAAGAACTAAAGCCGGGCAAAAAGTCTGGGAAATTCCATTTTTCAATTCCATTTGTAAAGAAATTCAGAATTGGCAAGACTTAAGTTAGGATTAGTTACCTTGGCTTTGGATCTCTACAACATAAGTAAATAGTTTTAGTGTGATATTAAAATACACATGCATGAGTCAAAGCTGAAAAGATAACTTACCACATGTTATGTTCAAAAACATTGGCTGGATCATTTAAAATTCTTGATCCCAGAGGAACCACTGGGTAATAACCACTTTGGTATCTGTGTGGCACCTTTTTTATCCTTAGACAGGTTATAGAATTTCTCCAAATGACATTCATCCCAATCAGCACCTGGAAAGCTACAAATGAGTAGTCAATATGGAGTAAAGTATACTGCTTATTTAATAGCCAAAAACTGGTTCAAAAGGTTTAAACCTGAGAAAGGATAGAAAATTTAAAATTTTAAATAAAAGAAAGACATGATACCTTCCCTCCTGGAATATTTTTAGGCCAAAAGATGGGAAAAGAATAGGTAGAGTGATATCAATGACATTCTTTTTAAGTCATACATAGACTTTATCAACTTTACTTTGTTTGGTATTTCCTTATTTAATTTTTAGTACATGATCAAAATATGTAAGCCCAGAAAGTAGATTTTATACATTAGAAAGGTATTTATGGCCCTCCCTGGTGGCGCAGCGGGTTAAAGCACAG